ATATATATATATATATATATATTAATTTGTGCCAATTAAGATATTCAAAATTTTATGACTGCTAATTAAGTTCTTAAATTTTATTTAAAAACCAATATATGACTTCATATATTAAAACATTACGACATCACATCAATACATAACATATATATTTTACTTCAATCGTTGTCAAAATATTTTCATTAGAAATAATGCTTTTAATTATATGATATTCACCAAAGATAAATCATTGAATTCGCGCCAAGGTCACTACAATTATTATGAACTCCACTTAGCTTCTCTTCCATTTCTTTTATTCAACAACTTTTTTTTGTCAATAAAATTATAGCCACAACTTCATCTGTTCTAATTTTTCCCCTTTCCCTCTTTTTTTTTTCTTTTTTTTTTTTAAACTTAAATTCCCCTTATTTATTTATTTTACTGCAGGCTCAGCTTTTTATTTGGTCCAACACTTGGCCACCCATGAACAATACATTGTTTCACTTTTTGGGTAATGAGGGTCAAGATACTCTGTGGTGCATGCTTCTCGGCCCACTGTGTTGCCTCGTATAATAAATGCACATGGAGCCCTCTGATATGATCAGTAAAATATTTGCCATTTTTGTGACCACACTCTCCTCACCAACATTACCTTTAACCCTAATTTCTCCTCACTCCTCACCCATCCCCAAGCTTGCTAGTTATTCCACCAAGAGAAATTGCCTACGCCTTCAAAGTGGTCCTTTCAGATTAGCAACCCTAATCACAACCAAAGTCCTTAGCATTTCAGCATTTTTATCACATAACTTGATCCAAGTTTGGAAATCTGAATTAAAAGAGCAATTAACCATGGGGTGGTAGGTAGGTATCAATCAATATTGTTGCATCCAATAACCATACCCCCTTCACCCTTTTGACTAAATAATTTTTAAACAAAAAAAAAATCACATGTACAACTTTATAAGAGACAATCATGCTTTAAACAAATAACAAAAAAATCTAGAGACATTTTTTTCTTAGAATGTTTAATATAATTACATATTTAAATTTTAAATTTTAAAATAATTAGTTAAACCAAAATAATCTCCACGCTCAATACTGATTTAATTAACCCTTTAAGAAGACATTCTTTTAATTTGCGTCGGACATAATTAGAAACTGATTCTAAATGTATAAAGTAATTAAATTTAAACATTCTCACCTTAATAACTCTTCCTTATAGCCACTTTCTTTGCATGCCAAAGTGGATTTGAAGGAAGCACTAGTGGCCATACAATCACAAAGCATTAGAGAGGAGTATGATGGGCATCACCCAATTATTCTCTCTTGTGGGTTTCTTTTAATTTATGTTCAAAACGAAGATACAAGATTTACGCTAGTGTGGACTAAGAAAGCATAAAGCCATATACTAATACCACATTATTGATCATTGTTCTAAATTTTATCACATATACATCAAAGATAATGTTCGAAAGTAGACATGTAGAGACAATCCAGACAAGACAACAAATGGCAAGGTGAGGTGCACCAAGGTGAGAATGCTCAAATGGTTAGGATGCCATATACATATGTGCAATGGCTAGTGAAACCAACCTTGAAAGTTCTATTTCATGTATTTTGCGAAAGTGACAACAAAAATTTTGGAAATGACAAAAAATTATAATTTATACCCTTAGCCTTAGGTTTTACATGTCTTCAAACAACTAGTGTTGACTTTTCATGGATAGCTTAGGCCTTGTGTTATTTTCTATTGAAAGAAAACAAAGAACAACCTAGGGTGGTAGGAAAATTAAAGTGAACCCTAATTTCTAACTTGTCCAACGCTCCTTACCACACATCACCTTACACCTTGCATGTTCTGTTTAGCAATCAAAGAAACCCAACTAAGGTGAAATGACGGGTAAACAAACCTTTGCATGGGATCAAATTTCAAAGTTGAAACTTCCAACGTCCCCTTTTTCTAGCACAAATTTCTTAGAAAGTACAACACGTTCATGAAAAACCATGTGCTTCTTGGAATTGAAATATGGATCGATTCTTTTCTTACGCGTTAGAATTACAAGTTATTATTAGTGAGAAGAACAGATCCAGAAAAAGAGAGAGAATCTCTCTGGATCTAATCATTCACCGTCCAAAATGCAAATTACCTACCCTGCCAAACATCTTGAGTGTTATAGAAGGCAACATGATTGTTCTTTTCCTATTGTCATTGCACCACAATATGATAAAGAAAGAAGAAATTATCACCATCTACCTCACTCACCTAACAAAGTTTCTCCACAAGTACCCAAAGGAGGGTAGGGAAAAAAATCAAAATCAAGTTGCTGGAAAATCTATAATCTAAATTGCCCACCCAATTTAAGTAACACATGAATTTAGAAAAAAAAAGTTGTTGGTCTTTAAAAGCCCTACCTACGAAATTATGAAAAATATTATTCATTTTTAATCAACTGAATCAAAATGCAATATTTGTTAAGTATCAAGCATCAATTGCATTCAATTTTCAATAGTCTCACTCACTTTAGAAGGATGGAAAAAATAAGCAAAGACAAAAAGAATCAAACCATAAATAGAATCTTGTCCCAAAATGTGACGAAGGATCATTGATCATCAATGATAACTAATTTTGTTCTTAACTCGTTTTTTAAACACAGACACATACCGAGAATTATTTGTCAGAAAAGTCGGTAATGCGAATTAACTCCCCTATCTAACACAAAATAGTAGCACTACCTTTTTTTGCTTTAACATTACCCTATTAATCATTTTAAAAAATTGAAGAAAAAAAAAAAGAGAAACAATACCATGAAGATTTACTCACATGAATTAAGATCATATTACCATAATCTTCATAACTGATCATCAGCAATCATATTTTTCTTTTTCATTTTTCTCCGCGTAGTAAAAAAGGGGGAAAAAGAGAAAGATAAAAAAAATTCAAGTAGATAAAAGAGGAAGGAAAAAAGAAAAAAAAAAAAAAAAAAGGAAAAAAATTAATAATTTTTTCCACGAACCAATACATGGTTTCATTTCTCTCATCAGAGGCAAAGAACGGTGCAGAACAGATCATCGTCGCAAACGCCGTTTGCCACGTCAGCGTCCTCTAACGGCAACGCGTTTAGGTCAAACGGCAACGGTTGGCGCCGGAACGACGACGCCACGTTGTCGCCGTCGCCGTCGTCCACGACGGAGGACGACGAGTCGCAGTCGCTGCGGCAGTCCTCGGGGACCACCGGCGGGGTCCGCGGGTATCTCCGATCGGCCAACGCCGCGG